TTCAATAATTGGCAGATTGATCCTTTCTATGACATTTAACAAGATAATTTTGCAACAAGTTATCACCTGAATATATGGTTGGAGATGAATTTTACGACCCGAGTAGTATGGACCCGAGTAGTAGTAAATTGCAAAGCTGGTAAATTTTAAATGCAAAATAAATCACGAAGATTATGTAATTTAGAGGGAAAATAGAAAGGTTATTAAAGGAATTGATGTTGGAAGAGTAGAAAAGATGTAGAATTAAAGGGCACACATAATTCAAGAAACCACACTCTAGAATAAAATTGATTATACTAGTGATTTGTTCGATTAAATAACTCTATTAAGTGATTCGATTAGGTAATCTGGCTAGAATACCATAGTATGCATAATTACATAGCGGAAATAAATTCAGTATTCGAATGCAAATAAATAACATCAGATTGCAAGGAAAAGGCAGTAGGAAGTCATGGGAATGATTCAGGAATGACGTTTCAATGCCTCTAAATTACATTAGTTGAGAAATTATATATATATAGATATTACGCTGATATTATTTCGCGTTGTCTCTTTAGTCTATTGAATTGAATGTTAATGAATGTTTTTCATATTGAATGTTTTGTTTGTTAGGTTCGATCGCCATATATGCTGTGAACAATCGAACTTGGTAGAAATATTTGGTGCGATTTCTACGTTGCTTCGGCATTCGAGAACATCTTATTTTCATGGTCATGAAGGTCAGGCTCTGAATTGCTTTCGTTCCAGGATCACCCACGTCTTCTTTTTATCCAACTTTTGCCATCTAATTAAACTTTTTAGTGGGCTCAGTTAAGACATCATTGAATCCAGAGCTGAGGCCACTCTCGATTTAGCTCGCATACGTGTTCGCCAAGCATTAAAAATATCAACCTGCCAGGTGCATTGCTATAGTTATACCTAAAAACGCACACCTAGAGCGGAACTTACAACTACAAATAATGCTAAATCAAACAACACTGCAATTATAGTTAAAACATTACAATATCCTGTAATTTTAATTTTCTAAATAAAGTGGTTGACTTCCATCATACGACCACCATTTTGATTATTTTATGAATGAATTATAATAAACAATTATATCAATTAATATATACAATTTATTGATATAAGATAATTAATTTTTAATAATTGATAAAAAATTAATAATTTACTGATATAAAATTAATTGATATAATACAATTATATCAATTAATCAATCAATTATATTATATGAATGAATATCATATGATTATATGAATGTAAATGTGTTGTGCACGTGTAAATGAACTCAGACTGAAGAGTGACAGTACAAGTGCAAACTTCTCTCCCAATGTTGTAAACTAACGAAATTGAGAGGTGCTCAACCTCGTGGCATAAAGTAAGGCAGGGAAATAATTCATTCAATAATTGACAGATTGATTCTCTCTATAACATTTAGTGAGATAAATCTATGCAACAAGTTATCACCTGAATATATGGATGGATACAAATTTCACAACCCGAGGATTACGGTGCGTCTTAGTAAAAATTGCCAAGCTGATAAATTTAGAATGTAAAAGTAATCAGAAAAAGTAGGTAATCTAGACGGGAAAATGGAAAGGATAGTAATAGGACTTGATGTTTTAACAATAGAAAAAGTAAAGGTCACTGTTAAATCAAGACACCACGTTCTAGAATAAAATTGATTGTGTACTAGTGATTTGTTCGATTAAATAACTCTATTAAGTAATTCCTGTAAGTGCTTGGACCAAGTGATCGTGCTAGAATACCATAGTATGCATAATTACAGAGCGGGAATATAAATACAGAATAACAGCCCAATTCACACAATCGTAATAATAGTGAAACAGCGAACACGAAAATTTAATAGAAATCCTGCGGCTGCGATGACAGAAAACGGTGACTAATTAAGATTAATAATGTGACATGTAACACCATTAATGTGTGTCAGTAAATTCACCATTAAAGGAATGAACTCACCAATATAGCTAAATCGAGCCCCTACCTAAACGTTAGATCTGATAACGACGCTTTACATACGACTTAAAATGAAATAATGAGAGATGATTCAATTGAAATTTCCAAGCTAGAATTGAAAGTTTTAATTATTAGCGGGAAAATCTTGCCCACTCTTTCCTGCTGAAGAGCGTCTGTGCTCTTCAGCAGAGACACGTCTTGTGCTCGGCTCAAACATCTGTATGGTCGTGTATGTTTATGTATTGTATAACGTGTACTTGTAATCGGCCCAAACATTTATATGAGATCAATCGTGAGAATTGCCTGCGCCGATATTTAACAGAGATGTTTTCAACAGTGCTCACAAATGCATACACACAATACACGAAATATTGAACTAACTTCTATATCTTCGTTTTCTGTGTCAATATAATGAGGTATTACGCTAATATTCCTTCGCGTTGAGTCTCTTGAACTAAATAATAAAACATTAATTCGAAAAAATACACTTTTGTTTAGTATGTTCGATAGTCTTGAAAAACTTATTAGGGATTAAAAATTGGATTGGTAGAAGGATAGTTTATTGAGCGATGAAATATGCGATGTGCGTCGCATCAAAAATGTATGACGAATGTCATAGCTCGGTATCCTCCCCAAATCCGGTAGCTGTGGATAATGTAAGCAGCAAATCACTATAAATTCAAATGACTACCTAAAATTACCGTACTAGCTTATCTCAACATGCTTAAGCCAATGAAAATCGAAAAACCTTGTATATGGTCGTAAGCCTAAATAAAGCCTTAAATCTATGAATCAACAATCCGTAAATTTAATTCCTTAACAGATAGCCATATTTGCTATGAACAATCGAACTTGGGAGAAATATGTGGTACGATTTCTATATGTTGCTTCAGCATTCAAGGGCATGCTTTTTTCATGGTCATGGTGGTCAGCCTCCGTATTGCTCTCGTTCCAGGATCTGTTATGTCTTTTTTTCATCCATCTTTTGCCATCTAATTAAGCCCTTTAATGGGCTCAAGACTTCATTGAATCCGGAGCTGAGGCCACTCTTAATTTAGCTCCCAAATGTGTTCGCCGAGCATTAAAAAGATCAACCTACCAGGTGCATAGTTATAGTTATAACTAAAACGCACACCTAGAGCGAAAATTACAACTACAAATAATGTTAATTCAAACAACACTGCAATTATAGGTAAAAAATTACAATATCCTCTAATTTTAATTGTCTAAACAAAGTGGTTGAGTTCCTACATACGACCGCAATTTTGATCATGGATGTAAATGTGTTGCGCCGGTGCAAATTAATCGGACTGTAAAGTGACAGTACAAATCTAAACTTCTGTCTCCAATGTTATAAACCACCGAAATTGATAGGTGCTCCATTTCGCTGACGTGTGGTAATCTGGCCCAAGACTTTTAAAGTTTTATATACGAAGAAAATATTTAACTAGCATGAGAAATTAGCACGAAAGCTGTGTTTGAGCAACAGTTGTTGCCAATTTCGAGGCCAACGGTAGGAAGTATTCACCTCCATTCCCTTCATCCGCATTTGACCTCTTATTCGCTCATCTATCACTCCACTTTGATCCCTCATGGTCGTTCATACGCAAACTACGATTCCCATTTGGCGTTCAGCATTCAGGCCCATTCCATCTCGAACGTGGTCGGCCTCTGATAAGGAAAATGTTTCCAACAGCTTTAAGGAAGTGTCATGATTTCTCATTACTAACAAAGTATTTCTCAAGTTAGGTGTTGAGAATGCTGAGGCGAATTCAATGTTGATGCTTATTTACATCCTGTAAAATGAATGATGCCTTTCTACTCACGATTATTGAAAGAAGAATCATAATTTGCATGCACAACATTCTATGTTCTCCTTGAAGCATGCATTTAAATTACTCCCAGTGACACACTTATCCTAAGCAAGTGAAATTGTCTCCTACAACGTATTTCACGTTAAAAAGTCAAGACCAATGTCAGTTAGGCAAAATAGGGCTACAGTGCTGCCAGAAGAACATTAATCTGACAAGACTCAATAGCCCCTGGCCAAGTGTCATGCGAGCTCTGCATGTTACAAAAGCGTATAACTACATTCCATTGAAGCTGCGTGCATAAGTAAATTTTCAATTCCATTCACTGGATTCCCAAACAATATGCGTTTAAAAATTAACTTTATAACTACAACGCTTCTAAAGAATCCAGTGTCTCCGATGTTACACAAGTACAATGAGTTTCTAATTTTATTTTCACATATTGAAAAATTAATTTTCTTTTTTTTTTCAATATATAAAAAAATTAAACTTTCAAACGTATTTATTATGTCAGTTGATTCATGCATTGTCTACGACTTCACGCTAGTGTGCAAAATTTCAAATCTAATGGACAGATAGAAGTGTGAAAAATATTGATTATATTATTTGCAGCGGACAAAATTATTTTATTAATTTTTTTACATTGAAAAAAATTTAGTTTACAAAATTATTTATTCTGCCAATTGATTCATGCATTTTCTCCAACTTTACGCAAGTGTGCAAAATTTCAGATCGATTGGAGAGGTAGAAGTGTGCTAAATTTCGATTATGAGATTTGTAACAGATAAACAAACAAACAACAAGAAGAGAAGTTAAAGAGAAATGATGTAAAAAATTGAAAAAATTCTGCATTTGAGCGTAATTTGCGGATATTGAAAATAAAATGATATATCATTTGAATCGATGCAATCAACGTACTCAACGGCGATTTATTTAAATTGTCTTCAAATGTCACCAAATGACATAAATTTCCCCCAGAAGTTCCAAAAAATCATGAGAAATTTTTACCCATAAGTGCGTGTATTGCACCCATAACTTTTCTGCCCACAAATTTTTGGGAATTTTTATCCGTAAGTGCAAAAAATTTTGGGAAAAAATATAATTAATTGGTTCCTAGATCCATTTTTAATGATTTTATTCCAATGTGCGTTTTTAGAAGAGCAATAAATTTTTTAATTTTTAAAGCTAAGCCAAATTTCTTCTTTCAAATCATTTGATAAGCAGTTTCAATAACGGCAAAAAATCGGAGGTCAGTTTACGTAATAATTGTGCGTAGAGTGACTAATAAAATTTCTTATTCATTTTGCCCTCCCTCCGTGTACCGGGCAGAAAAGATTCAAGGCAGTGGAATAACTTGCACCTCGCCGTAGCCATAGAAAACAGCAGGAGCCGAGACAAACGTGATAAACTGTCCTGCCACGCTTGTGTTGGTGTCGACAGTTATCGTCGACACAGGAGGCGGGTTGTCTGGTACGCGCCCAATTTTCTGACCGATGGAATAATCACTTGTGTTGCTGAGAAACACATCCACTACAATGTTGTATGAGGCAAATGAGGTAGCAAAGATAACTGCCTTAACGCGTGTTATCTGTTCCATGTCAATTTGTGAGAAGCTGAATGGCAGATTGTTAGACAGGAAGTAGCTCCGGCCAGCGCTGCAAGCATATCCATCGGTACCGCCGGTTTCGTAGAGTGCGGCGTAGACGGAGGAGTAACTGAAGGGCGAGTTTGTCTTCACGATGTCACGAGGGTCTCCCCAAGAGGTGTAACAAGCGTCGTAAGTTGTGGTGCTTGAAGACGGAGCATCACCCTGCCACCGCACGGCCACGAAGGAACTGTACAGGGCGCACTGCCCCGTGCCTGTTAACGGTGTAAATGATTGCAATTATAAGTTGGATGGGCAAAACAAAATAAACTGCAACGAAACAAGCGTCTTGTACTTGTATACCCTCAATTCGTTCTGAAGAGTAAATTTCCATGTTCATTTAATAACTCCTCTTTGTTCTGGCCATTAATAAATAGAAACAAAGTACAAATCTGTTGTGTGGTAAACATGGCATAAAACGCGATTTTGTTAAGAGAAAACATTAGCAAACAATTCTAGTTTTCAAATACTACCCACCGCAGCACTAAATAGTTGGTATCTTTGTAAGTCAATCGAATAAATTATAGACAATACAAAACTTTTGCTGTATTTCCTCTGAAAAAATCTTTTCAAATGTATTCATCATTTCGTTGACAATTCGGACATTCATATATAAAAATTAAACTCTTTGTCGTAACTCGGGTAATTTTGGCAATTCGCGCATAACTCATAACACGGGTTTGCTATAATAATACGGAAGACGATATTTATCTCGTTGTGCAGAAATGATATAGTAGTTCACAGCCAATAACGACTTCTGATCAGAAATGAAGGAAATCTTTGAGAGAAATATAGCCTACGCAGCCTGTAACAAACAAGTAACATCTGAGAGTGATGATTTCGGTAGAATTATCGCAATATCCAACAATTCCCTTCATACCACTTATTAGGGTTCAAGATTTTTATAGTACATGAAGAAAGACTAAAAATATGATCTCAGACAACTAAGCAATTTTAGGAGTGCATCTAGTCTGCAGTCTGCATTAATTTTTTTAGTACGATTAATGCCTCATGTACCAAGTGTATGAAGTATATCGTCTAAGCAATAATTATTTAAACTAATTCACTGGTGAAAATAAAGAAATAAGTAACATACTTTTCAGAGTGCAGAAGAAACGACAGTTGGCTGTCTGCTGGCAAAAGAGGCCGCAAGGCATAAGTGGCCGTTGGCTCTGTAACTCAGACAAAGCGAGAACCTTGAGGAAGCAGTTCTTCTTGTCGACGACATTGCCACGAATCTGGTAAATGATCATCAATTAGAAACGTGATTGGACAAATAGCATAAATTGGTGAATAATTTGGATTCTCAATTCACTGTAATTAGCGGAAAAAGAGGATACTTTTCCGTTTCTAGACTCATTTTAAGGCTCCGAGAATTGATCGTTAAGGAGCTAAGCCCAATGTCATACGGTGCATGATGGTATCCTCAATACGAGAAGTAGGGTGAAGGGAAAGCTGAGGATATATTATCAAACAAATTCTGTAGCCTTTACTTTTTATTTATGAACCTTTTCACTTATTTGGCTTTCCGGAACAATTTAAATTTAAATTTTGTATCTCATTTAAAATCTATCTTCACAGTCAATTGTCGTGCTATAACATTGACAGAAATATCCTTCGATTTATTAGGAGAATATCTAGCGGCCATAGATATCAGTTGTTTGGATTATATATTGTAAAAAGTAGAGTAGAGTGGGTGGAAGGGTTGAGTTAGATAATATGCATTTAAAAATTTCTTTTTAAAGACAAACTCCCAAAGAATCCAGTGTCTCCGATGTTACACATGTTCAATGAAGTTCTAATTTTATTATCATATAAAAAGAAATTATTTTTAAATTTTTTAATACATAAATAAAATAATTTTTTAAATTTTAATATATAAAAAATAATATTTTCAAAATTATTTATTCTGTCAATTGATTAATGTATTGTCTCCGACTTTACGCAAGTGTGCAAAATTTCAGATCGATTTGACAGGTAGAAGTGTTAAGTATCGATCATAAGATTTGTAGCAAACAAAATTGTTCATTCAATTTTGTTTAATATTAAAAATTTTGTTTGATTTTCAACATTTTTTAATTCTGTCAATTGATTCATGCACTGTCTCCAACTTTACACATGTTTGCAAAATTTCAGATCGATTAAAGAGGTAGAAGTGTGATAAATATTTATTATAAGATTTGTATCAGACATACAAACAAACAAGCAAACAAACAACAGGAAGTGAAGTTAAAGAGAAGTGTTGTAATAATAAGGAAAATTCCGCTAAAAACAAGGAAAATGACCTCTAATTTCACTTGATATTTGCATTGCGAATCGATACTCGTAAAACAAACGAGGAATTTATAAATGTCCCTCTTTTTCGGTTTTCTATGCATTTCACGTTTATCTTCATTTCTGAAAAAAATTTATACGAACAAAAAGTTTTTATTAGTGTTCTACATAGTTTTTATCAGTGTTCTACATGTGCACGAAGTTTTAGAAAAATCGGTCAGTGAATACAGAATTTGTTTTTAACCTGACGCTCACTTCAAGATTTTCAGGATATTCATTCAAGCTTGAATAAAAACTCACTTTACTAAAGTAGCCGGAGACTTGGCTTCCTGTCACGCGCCCGAGTACAACCAGCAACATCAGGAAGTTATGGCAATATTTATTGACTTCCATCTCTGTGTTTCGGTGTTCTCTGGTGTATTTATGTATTTAATTATCACTGATGCCTTGAGTTCGCTTCCTAAGACTGAACGTGAATAGCGTCTAATTGATGGGGTAAATACAACGGACGGTTATTGATGGAATAGATATGGTTAGATCCATGTTATGCGAACAATCTTTCGATCTTCTTCTTTGTCGGGACATTTAGTTAAAATAATTAGAACGGAATGTTCATTTTATGATCAACTATTTAATCTTTTAAATTGAATTGCCAGATCGGACCATTTTTGTCTTCATTTGAAACTTCTTCAACGTCCCAATTATTTCCTGCCGCAGGTGGAGTCTTCTAGAAGCGGAGGTCTGCCTCGACGTCGCTATAGCAGCAGCTGTAACAAGGCCAAACATTGATTAAAGAAAGACATAAACGAGTGCTGGAGTTTTAAACCACGTAGCATAATAATTGTTGGGCAAATCCCTTGAGCCAAGTGATTAAAACAATGCTGTCAATCAATTTAAGTTAATTAATTCAAAAGGGGCACAAGTAAACCAAAGTGTGAGATATCCATCATGCAAGTCATTCCTACAAATTTTCATTTGCTAGAATTCTCTCGGGATTTCACTCTTTACTTCAATAAGATTTTTAGAGACATTGAAGTTCTGGCCCTGGAATTAGAAAGCGTTTAGCTTGGTCTGTGAGTTTAAAATTGAAGTCAAATTATTTAAATATACTGAAATAATGAGAACAATTAGGGTGTGTATTTGAGGATTCCAGATCTTTAGTTTCCGCATCTAAGGAAAAACAGATGTGAAACGAAAATCTAATTCTACACTTGGCGATAAATTCTTAAAATTATGCGCAACGTCAAAACTGGAACTTTTGATACTGTCGTGATAACATATCATTATACTGTGACTCTATAGCTGGGAGTTATCTGATGATAAATTGAGCATTGAAAATTAAATGTGCAATTGAGACTGTCTTTTAGACGGCATCGACCATGGACAGAATTTATTTAATGGCAGTTAAGTTTGTAGTCGTTGCTTAGCTTTCATTATATAACACTGGACAACAAATTTCGTCAAAAATTATCGTCAAGTTTATAGTCGTGGCTTAGCTTCCATTTTATAAAATTGGACAACAATTGACAAATTTTTCTGCGACAAAACAGAAATTACCTTTTCTTGTCAAGTTTTTCACGCTTAATCCAAATATTAAATTGAATTTATTTTGTTAGCTCTCATTTTTATCCTAATTAGAGATAGATATTTTCTGTTCATGCATGTATTGTGTAAAGACTGAAAAAAAAAAGTTTAAGTCATTTCGCGTTACAAACTACAAGGCATTTATATGTTCTCTTTTTTGTAGCTTCTGGACATTCTTTTGCTTCTTTCCAACAGAAATTTGTAGTCATCCAGGTGTTCAATTTCCCTTGCATGGTACTGCTTTTCCACCTCAACCATTCCCTGATGAAAGCATTCTCCATGTTCGTCAAATTTAGGGTTGCCAAACTAAGTGTCCATGAGTTCGCGTTTCTGTTACCTAAAAAATGCACCAGACTTGATTTTACCCAGTCTATATTCTGGGAATTTGGAAATAAAATATTTCCAAATTCCAAATAAAATACTTCCAAAATATTTCCAAATTCAGAAAAAGTAACTTTATACGTATGTACATAAATGGATAACTTTAATTTGAATATAAGGGCAGTAATTAACCTTTCATGAGACTTTCAGTTAAAGGATAATTTGCTTATGTAATTGTTGCCCGTAAGATTTACTACCTTGCTTCACTGTTGGCATTACTGCGTGGATGATCGTGTTCAGCGTGCCTTGTCATATTGGTCGTTTCAATTTGACTAGAATGCGCAATGGAGTGAATATTAAATTCTCAGTCATTTGGTATGTAAAACTTAATCAGAATATGTCTTAGCTATTTCTGTCGTGTATCGTGTAGGGTCGCTGATTTCTTGACTGGCCAACAAGTCCAGCTACTACATGTGCTGACACCTGAAACGTCCAGCTACTACGTATGCTGACTCCTGCAACATCCAGCTACTACGTATGCTGACACCTGCAATGTCCAGCTACTACGTATGCTGACACCTGCAATGTCCAGCTACTACGCATGCTGACACCTGCAATGTCCAGCTACTACGTATGCTGACACCTGCAATGTCCAGCTACTACGTATGCTGACACCTGCAATGTCCAGCTACTACGTTGCTGACACCTGTAACGTCCTCTCACAATGCCGCAACTATATACTAAGCCGCACCTATAAAAATTATCCATATTTTGTTATTAACTCTTGTCTTTTCAGTCAATAACTGCATATCAAGTTTTCATTTCTCCTATACTGATCGAGGTGCAGAGCTGAGCCCGTAATAATCGATCCAGTTTCAAGTCGTTACCATTACGCACGAACAATGTGAATTATTTTTTAATGTTGAAGTTAACAATTGATTACAATGAAGTACCCAAGTTCGAGACTGTGCTTGTGTCAGCTTTTCCGAGCCTTGTACATCAACCGCGGCATTCATTTGTGGCTTGTGCCTTATAACGTTTATATGGATATTCAAATACGGTAAATGGTTTCGGAATGTTAACGGTCGGTAATTCTTGGTCCATAACTTTCATAATTTACTTGTACCCTGTGCTAATATGAATGAATTCTTCAGATGAATTATTAACATTCGTCCTGTTTCTAGATACATGTTCACTGTTAATAGACATGAATGCCGATGTACTAAAACATAAACAATTAAAGCCACTATAACCTGGCCTGCAAGTATATTCATTAAAATATATTTTTTTTCTTACCATCCTCTTTTTTCCAACTTTTGTCCGTCGTCCGTACGTTACTATAATACCCTCGCTTCTAATAATAAATTTTGCGATTGAGTTTCTGACGACGATGTCTTACACGCCTTTTCAAGTGTACATGCCTTCCTCACTGTCGTTTATCATTAACTACTAATTGTTCGATATTGTGCAGTCCATACATGCCGATGAAATTTATTGTAAATGCTACCAGATACAAATTTACTCTAACGGAATATGAACTAAAATACCAAAAATCGTAATAGGAAATTGAAAATTGGGTAACCAAATTATGTCTCATATGTGCGCATATGATTGGAAAATGAGCATGAGGCCGGCAACTAAAAAATTGCATCTTATTTCTTAAAACATACATGGCAGTATGAATCAATCCTACAAATTCTATAAATAATACATAAGATTAGCCTATTGATTGTCTCTAGCATCGCTTCAAGTCCATGACACAGAACAACGACGCTCATAAAAACAGAACAATATTACATACTACCTTATAGGCATGGCGATTAAGATCGTAAGTAGTTAAAGCATCATAGAATATTGCGTTATTATCGTATAAATGTGAAATTTTGCGCAAATACAATGGATTAAAATAAAAAATCGAAAATTTAATGAATGATCTTTTAATTGGTATTATGAGTCTGAGTTCTGTTTACATTAGTATGAATTGGATTGATATACCAAAAATGCCAAGCATGCAGTATTGCTTAATACACGGGCCTGATATTTGTATGCCTATAACGGCCAGTATAGTGAGTGTGATTATTCTCTTAGAATTAGATTAATCTTACATTATTCTCTTACGCCTGCCATAATTGTTCTATATTTCAAGTTAATCTAAAGAATACTTACGATGGATGTGGTTCTCGATATATCTTACCTGTAATGAATTTAAAAAACAGCTTAAACCATTTATCAGCTCCCAATTCTTCGTTAATGCACGATGAGTCTAGAAATGGCGAAACAAGAAAACATGTTCTCTTACTTCTAAATTAAAGAATAAATGCTGGACCATTAGCAGCTCTCACTCCAGCATCAACTGAATACTGCGGCACTGAAAGCTACACCTTGCGAACTCACTTGACAAATGCGCGTGACAAAACTTTTGCAATTATTGACGTTAGCTGTGAAATTACTTCTTCATCGACTCAGCATATTGGCTGTGTTAAAATAATATATTCTTAACTGAGTTGTTAGGTGCCATATTATTGCTTCGTTGGTTGAATGAACTCGCCCATTAAAGCTTCAAACGAATACTTCATCATACTTTATGCATATCATGGTTTTAATCTCACGTACTTACTCCACTTCCGTCATTACTCCAGGCAACTATTGAATTCATAACTGCTCAGTAGAAAAATTAAAATTTTCACTATTTACTGTTTTCATGATTTACTGGGTTCACTATATATTTGCTATTTTCATGGTTTACTTGGTTAACTATTTACTGTTTTATGATTCACCGGGTCAACTGTTCGACGTTTTAATGATTCGCGTGGTTTCACTTTTCGATGGTTTTATGATTCACAAGGGTTCACTTTTCGATGGTTTTATGATTCACAAGGGTTCACTATTCGATGTTTTTATGATTCACTGTATGGGGCCCATTAATCAATGTTTTTTATGATTCATAGTTCGATAGTCTATATCAATGGTTGACTTCGATCTGGTAGATTAATTATTTATTGAATTTCACTGTGCGCTGCGAGCTCATAATGGACAAATCGCGTGTCTCAAGAGTTTTCATGTTCTCAGAAGTTGTGTTGCAAAATTGCAGCTCTCCTCAGTAAAGTTTTGAATTCAGTTTGCACTGTTAAAACTAAGCGAACACGCCCTTACCAGTTTTAAAACATATAATATATCTTAAAGCCACGTGTACGAACATCACACGAGTGGTGACATTTCATTACGGCTCGAAAATTATGCCTTAATGAATTCATGCTACAACAAATTTTAAGGCGCAGCTCCGGGTCTGTAAGTAATTCGAATTTTTCACTTACCCATATACGAATGGTGAAATGTGTAACTAATTAATCCATCCGACCTTTTACATGGGGTGAGTGGAAATGCCAGTTAAGTTTACACCAGAACCTCTGAACCGAATCTGTGCGTAAAGATGAGAATTGCGTAAGGGTTGGCCTGCGCCCAGCTTTCCAATCGGGAGCGCAAACGCCCAAAGCAATTAGCAAAATAAGTATGACAATGATTTGGAAGATTTATGTATGAGTTCTGCTGCGTGGAACTGTCGTTGAATTTCAACTAAGCCATGAGATAATTTCGCTCATACATTTCTCTTTATCCATTTATAGTTAAACTGTTGGAAATTTGTACTAAATCTATGGAAAATCTTACATTCGTGCTAGAAAAA